TTGTCAACAGTTAAGTTTTGCAACAGACTGCATCAGTTGTGACTCATCAGATAGAAACTCACATTTCTGAGGCTTGAAAAGCCACTCTGTAAAGTGTCAGAGGAGATCAACAAGGCCAGACTATTATCCAGAAACGTCTGCTACCAGGCAGATGTAGAAGAAAATGTGGCAGAACTCTACTTGTGGACAACCCTAGTTATTAACTGAAATCAACATATGAACAGTGCTCTACAGCCCATCATGGACAATGGTCTATCTCTCTCACAGGCCTCAGGTGGCAGGCCTGTCCAGGCTTATAGGCAGAGCCCTTCACTTCGAACATTTGGTTATCAGAAGCAATAGGTCAGACAAAAGGAATATAAATATAAGGACCAGACCCTACCACAGTCCAAATGTTAATTCTGTCCCCATATTAATGCAGCCAACAATGTTACAGGATGTAATAGTTCTGCCACAACACCAAAGGTTACTTCACCTGCTAAACTTCCATGACATAAACCTGACATCAGAAACACGAATATTAAACAAACAAACAAACAAACAAACAAACAAACAAACAACAATGGAAAACATTTGCTGATTTAAAGTGTAGTTTCTGGAGCAAAGGAACATCAAAAGGAAAATCCAGTATGAAATTGCTCTGCTAAAACTTAAGTTCAGTATCACTCATGGCTTAAACAAAGATTATAAGTCCTTACGTTACTACATATGTTAATTAACTCATCAGTCCCAGGATGTTTATTAAGTGTATTTTGTGAAATGGTCACAGTAATTATTTTACATAATCTAAGATTAAAAGTACAGTAATTAAATATAATATACTTAATTATTATATCTGATTCCTCTGATCCCTGTTCTGTCTCCCTCCCTTTCCTTTTTTCTACCTGCAAATGAATTGTCACCTCATGACAAGTCTGTCTTCTGTTACCTATTTACAAACTGGAGTCTGATCCATGAAAGGTTATGGTGTAAAAATTTTATTGATTTAAATGCGCTAAAAGACTTCGTGCTATTTTGCCAGTAGTATGTTTGTTAACACCAGTGTGTGAGGCCATAAACTTTTATTTTTGTTTTGTTTGGTTTTTGTCTGATATGATGCCATGAAAACCCTGAAAAAATTACATGGCAGTGGAAAGAGAGACAATTTATTTACTAGATTATCTAGATATATTAGGCATAGATAGTCAAGCACAAAGGAATATAATGCCATATTCCTATAAGGACAGTACAGCAGTATTAACTCTAAAGCGCCAACAAAAACCGACTGACCGACCGACTGACCAACCGACCGACCCACCCACCCACCGACCGACCAACCAACCAACTGGACACCAAACCAGAATCTGCTGAAATGCATTTATGTAGAAATATACTGAATTCAGTGAGTCTGTCTTGCTATTTAATTAGGGGGCGGGCAGAGAATTGGACAGTAAGGCATACATTTATAAAATACTGGCCCAACTAGAAGTTATGCATTCTTACAAGCAGTCTTCTGTGCTGGATAGGGAAGTATGCTAACAAAATCGCAAGACGTGCACAATTCTCCATTCCAATTCAACAGCTCAGGCTTCTGTAGAATACCATTTAAACAAAATCGAACCTCTGCCAATCAGTAGTTCAGGATGCTAGCTTCAGCTGCCACATTTCCACTCCCTTCTGCTCCCCCTTCTTTGCAGTCTTTGTAATCTTACCAGGGTTCTACTGTGTAGAAGGACTATGTGTGTGTAGCCTCTGTCGCTATGTTTACATTTCTTACACTTTTTAAGACCGAGGCCTGAAAAACACTCTCTGTGCATACACAAAAGTCCCAACATGGATGTTATCTCTTTCTACAGATTTGGCAGCGATGATATTGATTGTGATCAGTATTAACTCAACTGCTGGCACAAAGAGGCCTGGCTTTAATTTGTTTTTTTTTAATTCCTATTACAGATATGCGAGTTCAGTGCAAAGTAGTGAGAAGAAAAAAGTGGATAATTCACTCTAAGACTATGAAGCATGTGCATAATTAGCTACAGAAAAATCTCATGGTGTTATTAACTCAACTTAGAACCACTGACACTCTAGCTTGTTTTATTTAATGGGCAGCAACAAACTGCATTCCTAAGTAGAAACATTCAGTCCCATCTGACAGTTTCATTCTCGGGTAGATAATACCAAATGTATCTATGTAACATTCAAGCCTCTGTCAAACAGCCCTGAGCCATCTCCTCCAGACAGCTGTCCCATACAAGGGGGCATTGTCTGAGAAAGACTGGTATCATATTACTGTACTTCAAGCTCTGGGGGAAGCAACCCTGCTCTTCCCTGCCAGGGCACTGAGGAAACCGGGATTGCTGCAGCTTTCTCATGAGGTTATTGTCTGGCCAGAAAAGAACTCCTCCTGGCATTCTGAAGCCCTAACACTCCAGTCTACAAGGACAATCCAATTTACAAACTAAATGCCTAAGATGCTGGCATTTAGAATAACAGGTGGCTTACCCAACTACACCCTGCATGATCATGTGTATTATTTAGCATATCTGGATAGTCAACTAATGGGAGGTTTCTATCATTACGAAAAACAAAACAAAGCCCTTGACAGATTATATAATGAAAGGAATCATAAATACCGGTATATTGATGCATCAATTATGGGTTGGTTCTGCAGTAGAAAACGTGCTACTTCATGGTTGCAGTCACAGGACGCTTTCCTTAGTTTTTAATTTTTTTAAAATCCAGAAAACTAGCTGCTTGCTACATTTTTGAAAAATATATAATCATAACCCTGGCTTTCCTCTTTTGGAGGGTAGAATCAAACCAGTTTCTCCCCACACATTAGACCCTGGGGTGGGCAACAAAACCATTTTTATACTCCTTAACCCCATTCCTCTGCATACAGAAGAATGATAGTTTAAAAGACCCTATGCTTCCAGGTTAAAATGTGTGCTTTGTTTTAAAGTAGATTTGTGTTTCTTTAATGGATGTGTGATTCACCTTTAAAATGAGACACATGTTCCACTTTATGCCTTATTTTAACCTGGAAATGTGAGGATTTTATTTTTCATTCCTTTGCTGATTTCTACTTTGGAAATAAGTGAGCTGCCACAGTTGGGTCCAGCAGGGCAGAATAAGCCCACCCTAGCCCTAATCACCACACAAAAAACTGGTTATTTCTTGTTATAGTGGTGCGTGTATAAGATAAATAAAATTAGTGCAACAGAAGATGGAACTTGTCCCAATGAGGAGTTGTGGCACCAGTGCTCCCATTGTCCAAAGAGCAACAGGTAAATTGTTGGAAACACAAGAAGCATCACAATCCAATACTATGCTGTGAAAATAAAGAAAGTTCTCCAGGAAATAATGTGGTAATACCAGGAAGGTCACCTCAATTCCTGGGTAAGAAATGGCAACAATACATTCTTCATACAAAAACAATGTAATTGTCAAAGATTCATACTTAAGGGTTTCCATTACATGCTACTGGAATGTCTAAAATTGGGTATTGTGTGTGTTCTGGGGCTACAGCAGCCAGCAAAATCTTTAGATCACATTTGGGGAGGGCAGAAGGGCACAGCAACCATGGTCCTGAACATCTGTGACAGAATCTCCTGAAAATGGACTACAACTCCTATCATCCTCAACCAAGAGAACCACACTGAATGGGAATGGTGGGACTTGGGAGTTCAACACATCTAGAATGCTGCAGACTGGAGAAAGCTGCATTAATTGGCTAAAAAAAAAGATACATCAGGTAGCTGTGGGATGGATCCGATCATTCCCAACGAATCTTGCAGGTTTGCCTTTCTATTCATTTCATGGTTCAATTCAAAGCGTAACTTTGAACCTACAGAGCCATTTCTCAATATCATCCGGAATGAGCCATATGAAGGTGCCTGTGCTATTGGGAATCAGGCAGCTGGCAACTGGAAACAGAGTGCTTGTCATTGTGGTGCTCTAGCTACAGAGAGGCTGACCTCTCCAGGTCTTTGTTCCTGTCCCTTATGAGCTTTAGGTGCTAAAGGATGAGAAGCTCTTCTCTGCTCAGGTCTTTTAATTCAGTATGTTAGGTTTTTATCTGCTTGGCATTCTTAGTGTTTCCTAGTGGCTGCATTTGTCTTTGTGGTTTTGGTTTTTCATTGTTTATAGTGTTCGATTGTTCTTTCTGTTTTAATCATGTAAACCACTTTGTAAATAAATTTATGATTAAAAGGCAGGCTAGAAATACATTATTCTGACACACATATACATCCAGAATATTGGTATCTGTACTTTGTCATAAGGCAGCTAGCTTACAAGAAGACTTTAATCCTCAACCCTGTACTTCATGGTCTGGAATCACAATTCCAGTAGAATTAAAAAAAAACCCAATAGATATGGAGCCACCTTTGAAAATTGTTCAGAAACTTCAATTAGTTTAAAAAATAAACTGCTACCAGGCTATTTCCCTGGGACCATTTGGTGTGAATATAGCTCAACATTTTTAAAAGTACCTCACAGGCTTTCCTTCCATTCCAGAGCACAACTTCCCTTTTAAACCCTGCAATGCTTTGGAATCAGGCACTGGAAGGAATGCCTACCCCCAAAGTCAAAATCCTCAACTCTCTTTTTTATACGTCTCCTCTTGGAGTGTATCCTTTCATGAAACTTCGTCTCCAGAATTATTTTTGACTGGCATCTGGCTGGCACCAAAATTCTTACTCTTTTGGTGCCAAGTGAATATTTATTTATTTTCCAAGGCTTTCAAGTGCATTTTAATATAGTAATTATTTTAATACATTGGTAACATTTATGTATATTTTACATTGTGTCTGTGAACTGCCCTGGCACTCTGTTATGTCAGTGTACAATCAAAACAACTATTCTTCATGAGTTGGAAATGCTGCAGTATAATCTGGACAAAACCTCAGAAGCCAAAAGGAATATTTGGGACTTTTGGCTTCCTAATATATAAATATTGATGAGGGGGTAAATATGTCAAAACACAGATCTCTACATGTCTCAATATTTGAATTACTTACTCTCTTCAGGTAGGTGATTTTCTCGTTCTTCTCTCTCCATTTGTTGGCACCAACCTTCCATGCGTTCTCTCTCGGCTTGAAGAAGCTTCAAGAACCAGTGTCCATCTCTTTGACACACTGATCTTTGAACAGCCTCAACAGGATCTTCAGTTATTGAATCAATCCAAGGATCCGGTGGAGGTAAAATTGAAGGATCAAAATCTGTATCAAAGTCATCATCCACTGCACATGCATGGTAATGGTTTCCTGAGCCTTGTATGCTTACAGTGGAAGTGCTGGCATCTCGCGAATATTGTCTTGACATTTGCCCAGGATATGAATGGTCTTCTTGAGGGTCCATGGACATTTCAAAGTTCTCATGGAAATCCATGTCTGCTTGAACTGCTGTTGTAACACTGTTCGACCGTGTAAACCTGCGGAAACTAAACAAGACAAAATTAATGTTTAGGCAATAAAGGTGTTCACAGGCAGACACAGTCAAGAGATACGTAGATTAGATTCTAGAACAGTAGTCCTTTTATACCCACACAGACTTGCTAAAATATCGGCAGTGTGAATCTGAAAAGGTTGCTATTGAATCTGGATCTTCTCAAATTTCACGTAAATCCAATTTTATTAAAGTTTGTGAACCAAAGGCTTTGGTGTACAGTTTATATTGTCACACAATTTAGAAGTAAATAATTTGCGTTCAAGTGGTCATAGTGATATTGCTTCTAGATCTTCCAAGTATAATTCAATAGCATTTCTTTAATAACAGCTTTTCAGAGGCATTTGAGGGATTGATACAAGAGAATGGGAAGAGGAGCAAAGAGTTAAAGATCCTCTGCTAGGATAACATTTAAAACAGGCCATGTATCAGAATCCTGACCCACTACTTCCTTTGTATATCTAAAGTCCAGCAAGTGCTATATGACAGTTGTGTATACACTCCCCCACTTATCAAAACACAGGCTGTTATATTTGTATGTATGTTATCTTACTTAGCACTCCCTCCCTCTTTACTGTGACTTGTCTGGTTCCAGACATGGGATAAACACAACATTCCTTGCATCCTGATTCTAGGTTATCCAGAGAAAGAAGTAGCTGTTATCAATTTCAGTGGAACTTGCTTCTGTAAAATGAAATGGAACTGAGAGCACCATATGAAGGTCTAATCAGCAGTTGCTAGAGTACATCATTAAAGAAAAGCTTTGTTTTTCTTTATTCAAATCAAGACCCCAAACGAGGAGACCAGTGCCAAGCAAAATGCTGATGGAGTCATCATTTTTTTTCCAACAGGCAGCTCTTACATGGAACAGGGACAGGGAAGAGAAGTGGGTTATGTAAGCATAACATATTTATTTCTTTAATATATTTTAACTGTAAGGAACTCTTCCAGTTTGGTCTAAATGCAACCAAGAGACAATGCTGATAAGCGGTAAGGCTGATTAATTTTGATTAAACTGGTGAGCATAGGGCCAGAGGGTGTAATTACAGCAATCTCAAAAGAATGTTGGAAGTTTAACAAATGCTTCTCACATCACTTCCTTGATTTGTCTTGCCATTCTTTCCCGTTGTACAAGCCATAACACATAAACTTTGAATCAGCTGCTGAGGGTATGCCTATCACAGCATCTGTTTTTGACACAGAGATTAATAATCATGTTGGGGGGGGGGAATGACATAAATGAGAACCTGGGTGCTGAATTCTTAGCATACACACATGCTATAGAATTCAGCATTTTGGTTTTTCTTCAAGAACAGACTTCTAATTATGAAATATAAAGCCCTGGTCTTGCATGAAGATGACATAGTGACAGAGGCATTATATTTTAAAATTTAGGAATACACACTCCCACTCTGTTTTGAGGCTAAGCAAGCATCATAAGAGGCTCTATTCAATGTATACCAACAAATGACCCAGTTATATGTTTATTTAGACAACACTGTGGCACAACCTTGCTGGGTAGGCTGTCCTTGGCAATGGTCTGTGTAAACATGCATTTTTTCAAATGAAACATAGACCTACAGTGGAAATTAACATCACATCACCTTAGAGCTGAGTAATTCAAAGGGCTGTCTCCAAAAATAATGCGTAACAACCATAATGTTTAGCAAAAGTACTGTATCTTGCTAAGGTTAAATTATATTCCAAGAAAACAACAATCTTCTGATCACTTCCAGGACTGGCTAGCCTCTTGTTGCCATTATAAGGCTGAAGAAAAAGGAACAGACAATATTGACCAGAATCCTTGATCACGCTGAATAATGTAATACCAAATTTAAAACCCACAAACACCTGTTTTTCAAAACCAAGAGGGAATTTCATGAAATTTTTGGTTTTGCTTTTTTTTAGGGTTTGTTTATTCATTAACATATTTAATTTTGACTTATTTATTTTATTTGTTTAATTTTTTCCCCCAGGATTCATTCATTCGTTTGTTTATTTATTTATTGACAATTTTGGTGGTTCTTTTATCCCCTGGAGGGAGAGAAAGTTGGCCTTTGGTTCAAAAAAAGCTGCCCACTCTTGTGGTCAAGACTCTGTACCAACAGCTGGTAAGCTTGGCCTGCAGAGTAGATGACCCACCAAGCTGAATGCAGCCCACCAACCAAGGACCATGACCTGACACGACCTACTCTGTTTCTGTAACCCTGAATCATCAGAACTAAAAGGAGGTTTATTAAGCCCTGCAGTGCCTGCTGGCCATGGCATGTCCCTGGTGGACTGCAGTCGGCTTGGCAGGCCATGAATTATAAAGTTTTGTTTTAAAGCCTCTGTAAACAGTTGATTCTCAGAGTTTTGGTCACTGATCACAGTTTCATAAATCTTTCATGAGTAGTTCTTAGGGTAAGGATCCTCATGGTTTCCCTGCCTGTTGTACTTTATAACCTCAGTACATTTGTGCTCATTCATGCCCTACAGGCACGAAGTGTAATAATTACAGCCTTTGAGAATTATGACAGTTGCCTGGTCTAAGGTGCACAAAAACCATGAAACCATAGACTGGCTAAACCAGTACAGAACACAATACAGTGTCTGTTCTGAAGAGAAACAGCAGGTTTATTTCCATGTATTTATCTCCGTGCCTCTGCTTTTGTACCCCTTCTGAGAAGCTTGTTTACATTTTGAGTCAAAGGAGATTATCCTTTTGTACAACAGGTGCTGAGCAACTTACAGATGGTTCTGATCGTATTAATTACAGACTGTTTACCTTGTTGCCTTGAAATTGTAATTACATACAAATTTATTTGAACTGCCCATGCTTACAGGTGAACAAATAAATTTAGGTAGATGGTAACCTAATTCTGATTTAGTGCTCCTATGTCACCATTTATCGATGAGAAGGGAATAAATTGCAGCTGGAACCATAAGCATACTTACTGGTAAATCCATCAGAATCAATGACTCTCATGAAGACTTATGAAAATTTTGATTAGACTGTGTGGCTGGAACGTTAAGCATACACTTTGGTACGTAATTACCTAAGAAAATGATAGGACTTACAAGTAAATAATAAAATTTGAACCAAAATCCTTGAACCAACAAAAGCCTCTGTTAATGGAATGAGTACAGATACACTTTTCAGTAATTCTTCTTCTCTCATGCCAGCTTCTCATCTATTCCAAAGAGTCCCCCTAAACCTATGGAGCACAGGTGGCTTCAGGAAGAGGGAGAACTACGGAAAATCACCTCCTTTGTTCCACTGATGGAGCCTCTGCTGGATAAAGAGCAGTCTGTCAATGAAATGATATCAACTGGATACAGGGCAAAGCCTTTAGGATTGGGGTGCCTGCTGCGATTAAGCACAAACAGGTGGAAATATGATACACTGCAAGTAAAGCCACTGGGAATTCAAGCTGTTTTAATACCCATGAGAGGTGGGAAAACAGTGTATAAAACGAGTATGAATTATGTCAATGCAAAAGCACTGAATAATAAACATGCTCAGCTGATTCCACCAAAATATAATAACTTCTTCTCATGTATATTTTCATATTGTAGACTTTTAACAACCAAGTCTTTATATGTGGTGGTAAAACAGTCTTATATTTTTCCATATTTTTAATGCCATAGGATCTCTTACTTCTCCAAATGTATGGCAACCATAAATACAGCAACTTGATACTAAGGACTTTGAGTTCAATATAAATTATTTGTGATATGTATAATTCTTGAGCTGATGTAAACTATCAGTTAGCTGATAATAACTGGTCCATTTGTGCATAATGACAAGCTGTTAGATTGGTGATATGTCTTTATTGAAGCACTAGGGATTTCTAACAGGTTTACTTTATTAAATATGTATCCGAAACCAGCCTTGTGTTTGTTTGTGGAAAGTAGAAAAATGTGCTTCATGTACCAGTCGGTTTCTTTAAGAGACACTGATTTTGGTTCACTGGGCTGTGTGGGATACACCTAAATGCAACACTAAGATAAAACTTTCGTACATTCCAGGAGCTCATTTTAATTCAACTGCAGTACTGTCTGAGTCAGTAGTTTCTTTCTGGAAGTAACTGATAGGTTACAGATGTACCTCTTTGCTAGATTACAGGACTTAGTTAATTAGTTATATGCTGCTAAATCAGAATTGATTTATAGTGACCCTGATATGGCTTTCAAAGTAAGTGACATAGTTAAGGAGTGTTTTGATTGGTTCTACTCCCCCAGTGAGTTTCAATAGCCAAGGGGGGATTTGAACCTTGTTCTCCAGAGTGCTTGTCCATCACTCTGTCCACTACAACACACTAGGAATCCAGGGAATGTCCACCAGAAATCAAAAGGCAGGTATCACCCTTTTATGGAAACATAGCTGATTTACATAGTCCTTTTCAGACATTTCCTTCATGTATTGGACCAAAACATAAGGGAAGACTGGAATCAGCACAGTAGCCAGTTGATGTGGCTGATGTCACTGAGTAGGTCCCTCCAACTCTTTCTTTCTTTCTTTCTTTCTTTCTCTCTTTCTTTCTTTCTTTCTTTCTTTCTTTCTTTCTTTCTTTCTTTCTTTCTTTTGGGACTAACTGCTCGGAATTCTGTAGATACAGTTTAGACAGTTGCAGGGCAGGGCTTTTTGTATAGATTTCAAAACCACCCACCCCACTTTTGCACACCACCTAGTGGATGAGGGTAACATCTGCAGAAGGCATATGATTTTGTGTGTGGAGAGCACACAGGTAGGATGCAGATTCTTTCAACATCAGTATTCCATTGTGCCCACTACCATCAATACAGTTGCAAACCACTGATAACAGGCAGCAAATTTTAGGGTATCAAATTAATATTTGCTTACCACTTCTCCTCCTCTACTTGAACACCTATGGATTGGAACTTACTGGTTGGTCTGGTTTCACTTGAGCTAGAGGATTCCTCTCCATCCACCTAACAGGGTAACCAAAGAAAAATAGAATTAACAGCATTGCATTATTGAAGGGGTTTACTGTATCTTAAAACTTCTTTGAAATGTTTCATTACAGTTCTTAAAGATTTTAAGATTACTACATCAGATTTTTGCAAAGTTGGGGCTAACCTTCCTTGCAACTCTCCTATAGCATCTTCAGAGGACTGATTTATTGGCTTCATGCATTCTCTTTGGATCAAAGTTCTGACTGGGCAGCACTCAAAGCAGGCTCTACATTAAAAATGAATGCTTTTTACAACAGTGGGCTGACGCCTATTGAGTTCACTGAAACTAAGTATGCTATTTATGCCTCCATAATTAGTGCACAACAGTTATAGTTTGGAATATGGACTGGAGTCAACAGAATTGTTTGGTAGCTGGTGTGGGGGATAACATAACTAGAAACCCAATCTCTCATACCAGTTGCGGGAGCCTGAGTAACTCTTAACTCTGAAAATGCCATCAGAAAACCTGCTATGGAGAAAATTCGCTTCACGACGATCAGTTCCCTGCTTCGGGAACCAATTCTTCGCATTATGACGATCTAAAAACAGCTGATCGTCAGGTTTCAAAATGGCCACCCACTGTGCAAAATGGCTCCCCTCTGTGTTAAGGACGGATTCCTCGCTATACAGGCACCAGAAAATGGCCGCCCTATGGAGGATCTTCGCTGCACGATGAGGCATTTCGCCCATTGGAACGCATCCAACGGTTTTCAATGGGTTTTTAAATTTTGCTTGATGATGATTTCGCTTAACAGCGATTTTAACGGAATGCATTATCGTTGTCAAGCAAGGCACCACTGTAGTTAGCAACTGTAGCTCTAGTGGGAAAAGGAGATGTATACTTTAGTTATACTCCTAGAGAGCATGGGGATGGATGAGCCTCGGGACCCTAGTTTTATGGTTTCCCCTCAGAGGTTTGATTACATTTTATTTGGTGAAGGTTTTTTTTCTCCTCCTTTCCTACCTGGTACAATGAAAATCTGATCAAAATCTTGGTCTAGTACTAGTTCCACGCTAGCTTCTGTGCATAAAGGAAGCTCTCAGGTACCAGTGGGATAGTATCTTTTCTGCACAGTAAGGTAGACTTACACTGAGCCTCAACACCTTTCCAGCTTTGCCTTTTCTCTTAGTGAGCCACATTTAGGTGTCTGTAGGTGTGGATCTGTCATGTAAAACTCCCAGAATGGAGAATTATGGGATTTGTAGTCCAAAATATTTGACTATCCCATGCCAAATTATTTCCTACAAACTCCACTGAGGCCTGCTCTGAAATTAGAACAGCTCATGGCAGCAGATCCACCTATTCTGTGGGCAGTGCCATCTTATAATTATTCCCTATATTTGCTGCTTTTCCTTATCCTAATTCCTTTCCTTTTGTGAGGTACCTTTTGGATTGTAAGCCTGAGAACCATGGCTTCTGTAAAATTTGGGTGATTTAAAAAAAAACAGAACTATACTGTTCAGTGAAGGATTTCCTTGCGTGAAAGTAAGACCCAGGTGGAAACTTTACCGCACAATAAATATTGCCCTCCTCAGAGATAATGTTAGTTCCCATACACTTGAGCCAAACTAAAGTTTAATTTATTTTAAACAAGGGTGTATCAGACAGATCTTATCCTTGTGCCCTCTCTGCTGATTTAACAGCTAAATAGAACAATGCTGTTGCATTCAAGTGCGTAACAGTTGTTATGTGATGCATGAATAAGCAGTGACAATTCAGCTAAACTAGCTGAAAACATTTCTCTGGTGATGGTGCAGTGTAAATCATTGCTTTACACATTCTCTTTCAGTGATTTCATTCATGCTTTCCTGACTCCTGCTGGGTTATGAATCAAAGGTTTAGGCTTCTATGGGCCAATTCAAAGAAGCAGCATATATTAAACAGTCAGAAATCCTGCTAAATCCTCACATCAGATATGTTCAAAATTAATTAATGAATCTTGAAGGCTTTACATGGAAATCTAATTGCCTTTCTAAACTAAAAGTCGAATTGGGGAGTAATCAAAGCCAAGGGATTACTGGCTGCACTGTTCTAGAGATGTTAAAAAGCAGCAACAACTCAGTTCCCGATGATATTCAGCTTGATTTTCCCTGCAGTTTAACTATACCTGTATTCCAATGGACAGGCATCGATTTTTCTTGAAATGATCTCTCTTTCTGTCATCTGCAGTGACGGTGGCGATGGTGGTAGTGGTTGTGACTGTAGTGGTGTTGTTGCCCATATGTTGGCTGGCGGGGCCATGGATCTGGGCGTTAGCTGCCTCAATAGCAGCTGTCAGCGCCTTCATGCTGTCCAAGCTTTCTGTGGAGTTGCTAAGTCCTGACTGGCTGATGATATCTCCCCTTTGTCCATGTCCATCCATGTAGGCATCTTGAGCAGATTCTGTGCTACTCTGTGCCGTGATGGAGATAAAAGGTTTCGTAGTAGTTCTCGGTGGGACGGGAGGTGGTGTCTTCTTATATGTGGTAATGCAAGAGGAAACTATTGGGAAATAAATGAACAAATATATATTTAGATGTAGGTGAAAAAGGGTGAGTTATCAGTATATCTCTTCTTTCTTAAAAATCCTCAATATGGACTTTGGAACAACCCAGCTGAAGCTAAAAGTTAAAAATATGGTACCATGAAAACAGTAGGAGTTTTGCTGTTGAGCTGAGAAGAGACAAGATGACACTCCTAGAGGTTTTATTCATTTCCTCCGTGCAGATGTGTTTAAGATAACATACACGGGAAAACCAATGTCTACAGTTAGGAGATGCCTTTACAGGGACCCCAGTCCCAAAATCATAAGAATGTGCACACTTTTGGATAGAGATTGGTATTATTTCCTTAAGTGGCTAATTGTTTTTCTATCCTATTGAACTGAAAATAGGAAAGAAAAAAATAATATTTTATTAAATCATATTTACATTTGATAGTAGGGCTAGATCAAACATAGTGCTAGCCACATGTGGCTCTCCTGAGCTATTTTTTGCAACCTCTGGCAAAAAGTCCCCCCCCCCCCCGCACAACAAGATGAAATAGTATTCCAGGAAGCCCCAAAAGCAGGGAGCTATCTTTCCAGTTGGTTGCAGAGCTTAACTGCACTACTGAACATCAAAAACTACTCCTTTTCAAACCCACAAATTGACTTCCACTGCAGGTCTCTCTATATCATCTTTTGTCTTTCTTTTGTACTTTTAGCAGTTCATGCAGCTGGAGCAGAAACCTGCCTCCTGGATGAGGACATGTTGCTCATCCTTTCTTTAACAGGACAGAGTAGTTGGGGTATGGCTGTCACAGATACCAGACTCAAGTGACTTCAGTTCCAGGATGTACTTCCTATAACTGCCTACTTTCTACACCACTATCAGCTGTTTTCCAAGGTACAGTATATATGTTTGTATTCACCCCTTAAGCCTACAAGAGAGAATTTCACCTGACAGGAACATCATGGCTATGCTTTATTAGAGCTTACAGACAAAATTTAGAAACCGTTCAGACGAAAGACAAACTCCAGGAAATACAAAAACTGAAACATAAAATTTAGTCATCAGAGACGATGTTTGGTTTATTCACTGTCCAATATAGTAGTACTGTACCTTCTACTGGTAACAATAATCATAAAGCACAAGACAGTTTATAAGATTGTTTTAATCGGTAGACATCTGTGCTATCCACATAAAATGTAGCTAAATCACAGCTGTTTTTCCACATGTTCATTCTGAGCAGGTTTGCTGAAACAGAATTGATTGTTGGATTAGTATTACTAACCCACTTGCAGATCTTTTCTACTTCATATCAAGAGTAATCTATATTTAGCTATAAAATGAAAGACTAAAGTTGCCATTCTACGAACACTTACTTGGAACTAAGTCCCACTGGACTTAATGAAATATACTTTCTGGACATTCCTTAGGACAGGGGTGTGACGTTTCCCCATGTGACCCTTGCTTGTTTCACTAAACAAAGAGCTCATGCTACGTATTCCACCAGCTGACACCAATTGTGACGTACCCCTCACATGTCCGCAGGTTGTTTCACTAGCCTGAGGCCCATGACATGTTCTCTCCTTTTTGCTGCCACCAATTGACCTCTGTCAACACTCTTTAATTAGAAAGACTGATGTCCAAGCTGAGTATAAAGTTGAACAACACAAGTTTATTCATTACACGTTCACTTAAACAGGTTCTTCACAGATTTTAATGTATTCATTAGATTAGTAATACTTGTTTCACTCTTAACTCTGTTAGCCCTCTATAAGTTCCACACTCTCAACTACTAACTTCTGCTTCAGACTCTCCTCTCTGACTCTCACTGACTGAACTTCCTAGACTCTGACTCACCCCTCCCTTCTAGTTTCTCTGGATCCACCTCCCAACAGCTCCCATTGGTACATGCAAATAACCTACTACATGAGCCAAAGCAGGGTGATTGCCACAAGGGGTCTCCAAACTTTTCACATGGAGGGCCACATAATATAATTGCAATAAGCTGCTCAGAGACCTTCGGGTAGTGTGTGTGGCATATAAATGAATGAATGAATGAATGAATGAATGAATGAATGAATATTTTTAAGGGCTGAAGGAATACACATACACACTCCTGCTCACCCGCCTGCACTCCTGCCCATCCGCACGCACACCCTTCTGCACAAATGCACACCTGACCCCCACCTGCCCAGATGGGGCATATAAAAAGGCTAGGCGGGCCAGATGTGGCCCGCAGACCATACTTTGGAGACCCCCATGCCTTAGGATTATATTGCATGAATTATGACACATGGGTACTCTCACCTGAACCAATGACTGAAAGGAAAAAGCACGGTCTGGAAGAGGTTTGTAAGACTATGTCAGTAAGCAGCAGACGTTATCTTGCATTACCGTATTTGGAGGATATGATCCAAGGACCACTCAAAAAACCAGCATTCCACCTTTTCTCACACTTATGGGTTGCAATTATAATTTCACTTTAATATTGGTAGATGACACTAAAGGGCTCAATAATGCAATGAGACAGCTAAAACACTTTGAAGTAAAGAACACATACAGATCAGATTTCCTCACCTTTCTATTCTTTCAGGATAACCAGAACTCTTTTCAGAATCATCTTCACTATTATCCTTCCACCCTGCTTCTCAGCATCCACCATATTTTTATCACAATACCTCAGCTCGTAAAATACTCAGAATTATGCAAGACACTGAAATTTAAACAGCCAGCATGCACCCTCCCATCAATGACAAACCTTTCTATAAGGAAGCACTGAATTCAACTGTTCACACTATTTTGCTTCCTGGTTTAGAAATTTATTATGACAAGCAGTAACAGAGAAAGTTCAGAAAACATTTTTATATAAAAAAGGATGCTTGTTCTGAGAGTCTTAAAACTATCAGCTATGGGTTAGGTTTCTTAAAGAACCCAATATTCAATCAATGTTACATTCTAAAATGTTAAGGCAGGCATAAAAACAAGATGGCCTGAAACACATTAATACAAAAGCCCTCCTAGAGTCACATTTGGACAGACTGACTGTACCAACTTGAAGCAAGCAAAGTAGAACTTCTAAGTGTGGTGGGAGTGAGAGCGGGAGGGGAGCCTCAGCCTTTTCCTTACTGGAAATGATGTAAGCTTCTTGCCACTCCTTTGCAGAAATGACAGTAAAACAATGCTAGAAAACCACAACCCCCAGCACATGCTTCTAAATGTCAGCACTGACCAGAGGCCTTCAGGAATTAAAACCATGGTGAGAAAGTGGACTGCTGTTGTTTTACTGCCAAAGACTACAAATTGCCTAGCAACTTGGGACATGGCAACAGATTGGTTCTTAAACAAGTATTACATTTCGTGTTAACTGCAATGCTTTGGAAAGACTTTTACTAAAAAAAAGAAGAAAATACTGAGATCTGAAAGCTTGACACTGGTGGGGCCAACAGAGGCTGCCAAATCTACAAGGTGATGCCTTCAGTATGTACAGAATGGGAATTTCTGTTGTTCTGTCCTGGCAATGGTAGGAGAAACAAATCCGAGCCAGATCGTTTTAGCTGGAAACAGGTATCCCTCAAGGTGAAAGATGAGCTCCAGTATAGACTTCTGAAGAGAGGTCTGGACTGGATCTCCCAGCTTGGCATATGCTTTCCTCCTGAGTAACCTCAAGCACGCCTTAGAAGCAAATAAGTTGGGAACAAGAGGAATCTACTTCAGCTACTGAATTAAAGAGATTAGGAGTGTTCAGACAAACATTTTTCACATGTTAAGAGGGGAAGGGCAGAAAGAAAGAGAAAGGGAGATGGAGGCAGAGACCAAGTTCTCATGAAAGAGGAGAACTTCATTGGCTCAAGATCACTTCCCTTTCATACAGGAAAGCACTCTATGTACTGTATGTATAATGATAGGCTCTCAGAATTGCTTCTCATGTTCTCAGAATGCACAATGGGTACATGCATTGTTTACACTGAATACACATAATTCTAAGGTAATGGTTCCAAACCTTGGGTGCCCAAAAGTTCTTGGACTACCACTCCCAGAAGTCCTGGCCAACACAGCTAGTAGTGAAGGTTTCCGGGAGTTTCAGTCTGAGAACATCTACCGATCCAAGTTTGGGAACCACTGCCCTAAGACCCCCTCACATATGGTCTGACTGCATCAGAATTTCAAATGGACATCCCTATGAAGACTGCTAATTCTTGAGCTGCAAGGAGTAACACAGGAGTAACAACAGCTCATATTAAAAATAGTGAGTTGAAAGGGAAAGAGGCACGGTTGGATCTACTGAGCAGTGTCATGGCTGGAGCATTAACCTTACACTGAGGAGATTGGATTTGAATCCTCATGCAGAAGGGAGTTGAAGAATATTGGAAACATTGCTATCCCTCTGCCTTAACTACTCAGGAGTTGTTGTTAACACTGTACTATTATTATTTATTACATTTATGCTCTATATTTCCACTTAAAAATAGTGTTCAAGGTGACTTACAAACTTTGTAAAAGAATACAAACAGTTCTACCCAGTATAAGGCAGATTCTTATGTCCAAATATATGACATCAAGTATTCTTTGCTACAAGCACATACTACTGTAAGCTTATGGTTAAGTCGAGTCCTTGAAATGTGTCTAACTTAAAGACTTCTGCTAAGGAAACCTCCCCACAAACTTATGTTCCTATGCTCAAAAATAAGAAGCAATTTTGTGTACACAGGCAGAGAAACCATTAACTTCTTCATGTACTACATTTGAGAATGGCTTGAGCTGTATTAACAAAGATATACAGTAGTGCCTTGACTTACAAACTTACTTGGTTCCAGAACTCCAGTCGTAACTCGAAATGGTCGTAAGTCGAAGCCCCATTTCCCATTGAAATGTACTGAAATACAGTGGACCCTTGACTTACAGACGGCTTGACTTACAGACTTTTTGAGTTGCAGACTTCTCTGGCTGCAAAATTTAGATTTGACTTGCAGACTGAGATTTGACATACAGACCAGAAAAAAACCAAAATGGAAC